GAAGCCCAGCACCTGGCCTGTTCCTGCTCCTGGGAGCCCAGAAGTAGGACTCCAACACCCTCGGCTTCTCCCTCAGCAAGATGAAGAGATCTTGCCATTGCCAGGGACAGCTGGGAGCATGAAGGTGGATCCCACCTCCAGTGGCTAGCCCTAGCAGATCTTCAAAAAACCATCCTCCACACCCCATTGTGCCCCATGTCCTGCCTGAAGGAGCCCAAGTGCCAACAAGCCCAGTCTGTCACATTGAAAACCAGTGTGATTCCCTGGCTGGACCCCAGACAGCCTCTCACTTCAATGCAGGATCCCTGTGTCTCTGGTGGCCTGTCTTGGTAAGGACAGCTAGTGGCAGCTTGGGAACGGCAGTCCACTCAGATGGCTCCTGACCAGCAGCAGACAGGCAGGGACAGGCTGAGCAGCTGGCAGTGCCAAAGGGTGATCCAGCATGAGGGGAACCTCCGCTTGTGCCCCACCCCCAAGTCCAGACCTTTTTCTCAATGTTTGGGGATCTTAGGACCAGGGAAGACTACCCATAAAAGTTCACACATCACGTCTAAATAGTCAAAAGCTACAAACCAAGACAACAAACTCTTAAATAAAATGTCTTCTTATCTAGACCTAATGGAGTGGAAGCCAGACTGTGAATTTCAATTTCTCAACTGCTTGGAGTCTTGAGCCAGAAGGCAGCAACAGCTCTGGCCATCTGGGAAAGCCAGCCCCAGCTGGCAGTCTCCATTTCTGGTGGGGGCCTCAAACCCAGGTCTCGACACCCTTAGGACACACCTGTCAGCAATAGCTGCACCTGCAGCTGCTTATAGATCCCTCAGGTCTGAGTGTGGACACACCAGCAGTTCAGGCCACCCGCTAGAGAAATCCCAGAGGTTCAGGAGTTGCCTGGACAGGGACTTTGGGGTTCTAAGTATCTGCAGTGGGGTCCAGGGTGGGGTGGGGCATAGGCTTCTGGTGGACCTGTCGCCTGACTCTGGATCTCATGCACAGTAGCAGGGGTCATGGCCAGAGGAGGGCAGGGTCAGGAGGTCCCCTGACATGCCTGGTGGTACCCAGGTCCCATGCAAGGGGCCATGGTGTCTGTTGTGAGCAGAGTGGTAAGCCCTTATTAGAGATGCGTTTTCAGGAGAGCCTCAGGCCATCCTGGTGCCTGGACTCCAGGAGCAGCCCAGGGGGATGGGGAGCTTGGGACTTTGCATCAGGAAATCCCCGTTTAAGTCCAAGCTCCATGTGCTAGCTGTGACAGCGGCCCAGTGAGCTCCCTTTTGCTCCTCCAAAACAGGGACACAGTTTCCACCTGGAAGGCTGGAAGGCTGGAGTACTACGGCCTGGGGAAAGGTCTGTGCCTTGCCTGCAGACTGTTCAACTTCACTCTGCCCAAGGGTCTCTAAGAAGCCTGGATCTCTTACTATCTTCTCTTCTGGAATGGCATTCACCCTGTCCTAGACAGCACCTGAGTCCCAGCAGGCAGGAGCTGTGCCTCCTGTAGCACGGTGCCAGGTGCAGAGGAGCACCGATGAGTGCCTCCCCAGCTGAATGAACCATGAAGCCTTTTGTTAGTCACTTCGCCTTCCATCTGCCCTTGGGGCCACTCAAGCACCACACAGTTACCAAGTACCTTTGAAGGACTACAAGCACATAGTCTAGGAAGAGAGTGTCAATGTAGAACTGGAGCAGAAATACAGCAGCATGGTACCTGCACGGGCAGAGGAGCCAGGGTGAGGAGGCATGGAGGAAAGAACAGAGGCAGGAACAGCAAATGCAAAGGCACCAAGGTGTGGAAGGGACTTTAGGTCAACATGGCTGAATTTTGGGGCATGTACATGGCAAGTCAGGCTTGATGGGTAACCTGAGCTGACTTCAGTGTCCCACTATCTGGACCAGTCATTCTCATGTGTCCTGGACCACCAGCAACAGTGTCACCACTTAGGAAGCTGCAAAAAGTACCAACTATTGGGCCCTCATCCCAGACCTATTCAGACACTCTGGGGGCCTAGAACTCTGAATTTGGAGAAGTCCTCCAGTGCCTCTGATGCAGCCTAAAGTTTGAGAACCATGGTTTTACACTCTGTTGGGAAGACAGGAAGGTAAGGAGGAACCACAGCTGGTTTTAAGCAGAGGGAGGGTCGTCATTGCACTTTACTAAGATCACTGGGCAGCTGCTGAGGACGGATGGGGCAGCCTGTTGGGGACCCTCACCTCCAGCTGGACAGAGCTGCTGTGTGCTTCAGAACAATGTAGCTTCCCTTGTGAAAGGGAAGGACAAGGGGAAGTCAGAGGCCCCTGCTGGGCACAGGGCCTGTTGCCAGGGTGACCACCTGTCACTTAGCGGAAGGGGGCAGGTTGCACAGAGAGGTCAATGATGGGGAGCTGGTTGTCACGGCAACCTCCCCTCAGGCGGGGCAGGGACAAGGAAGAAGAAAGGCTGGGTGTCTCCCGGTGGCCCAAGCCCATTTCTGGGAGGGAGCTCACTCACCCCACAGCCCTAAGGGCCTCCTAGGTCCATTTGGGGCTGCAGGTGAGTTTCTTCTCCTCCCCATCAGGAAGCCACACACTTCTGGTTGCAGCCTAAGGGCTGGGGGGCTGTCTCCATGGTTACAGCCATAGTAGCTCTAGTGACCACCCCTCAAGAGGCCAGAGCCTCTCATCTGCCAAGGCTGCTCGGACAGCAACCCGTCTGGGGGTGGTGACCCGGACCAGTGGCGGGGCCTTCCACTCTGCCCTCAGTTGACTCAAGGTAAGAGGAAGAGGGACAGTGACTTGGCATGTCCCATTCGCACAGAACACTCTATAAACAGCTTCTCAAGGCCCTCAGCAACTTGACGTTCAGGACAGGGAATCGGGAGAGCAAGTGTACCTCTAGACCTAGCAGAGTGCAAAGTTCAAGAGGGTCAAAGCCTGGGTTGGAGTCCTGCACCAGCACTGTTCTCTGGCAGGCTTTGTTGCATCCCTACCCTCAGTCTGCTCCTCCGTACACTGGAGACAGCATCCACCTCCCAGGGTTACCTCGGGAGCAAGTGAGGAAGTGCACCCGAAGACAGCCACAGTTGGATAGCACCCTGGGTTTGCTTTTGGCTTGTTTTTCCCTTTCTCCTTTGGCAGTACTGGAGTTTGAACTCAGGGTCTCAAGCTTGCTAGGCAGGCGCTCTACCACTTGAGCCGCAACCCCAGTCTTTTTCTTTGCTTTAGTTACTTTTTAGCTACTGCCTTGAGGTTCTTTGCTGGGGTCAGCCTGGACTGCAATTGCCTTACTTATGCTTCCCTTATTGCTGGGGATGTAGGCATGAGCCACTATTCCTCTGCCCCAGATCTTGTCCTCCTGCTCCTCAGAAGCAGGCGGGCTTCTCGGGCTTCTCCTTGCTGATGGAACACCTTGTGGAGACGTGCAGTGGCTCTAAGGTCAGAAATACCTGCTGGTGCTATCACTATTACTGTTAGTTTGCTTTTGAAACAGTCTCAATATGTAACTCAGGCTGGCCACAAACCCACTGTCATCCTGCTTTAGTCTCTGGCATGCTGGGATTACGGGTGTGCACCACAACACCCGACTTGTTAATATTAATCACCTGGCAATGGAGTCCTGCCTGGTAAATGGCTTCCTCCTACAAGAAAATGATTGTACTTCCTATCGTCTTTGTAGCCCCATTCACTACCATCTGCTCCACCAGCTTGCTAGAGAGCAGGAGGCATGTTGTGCCTCTCAGTGTCCCTGCAATGCCTGGCCTGGTCCTTGGCAGGGAGCACCCAAGACACTCAGCATGGAGGGATTTGGAGGCCTCCTCTCAGTCAGCATGCCTAACCACATGCAAGGCAGAGGCCCCTCCTCTCCAGCTTGCTTCAGCACTTCTTGGGAGAGGTCCTTGTCCCCTGCAGAGGGTGTCCCTGTCTCCATGGGTGAGCAAGGAGCTAAGAGGCCCGCAGGAGCTGGGGCTCCAGGGAACTCCCAGGGCTGCCCCACCCCTCCCGCTGAGAGCTGATAACAGGAGTGGTTCTAATTATGTTCTAATTGCTTTCTTCCAGGCAGTTTCTCTGGAGCCAAGGAGTTCAGAGTTTATAAATAAATGAAGAGGGAGCAAGCAGGAAGGGATGTTTATTGATCTACAAATCTCTGCGTTCCAGAGTCTGCCCCACAAATGCCTGGGCATGCATCGGTGTGTAATTCTGAACACATACGAACAAGTGCATAGACCACAGCCCCAGGCCCTCTCTCCCTGGAATGGCCTGCAGGAGTGGGAGACTCGTAACAGGGAGATCAAAAGAAGTACCTTAAATTGGTTTTGGGTGTCAGTCCCAATGCTACCCCTGACTTACACTGTGGTCTCAGACAAGTCACTGATCAGTTCTAGGCTTGTTTTCCCAGCTAGATAGTATCAGTGAGAAACTGATGTCTGGCAGCCCCTTTCAGAAAAGCCAGCCTTTTGCAGGCAGGACAATGGGGCAACCGTGCAGCTAGAAAAGTCGTCAGCTAGGGTTGGGGGCATGGCTCAAGTGGTAGAGTGCTTTTCTAGCAAGCAAGGCCGTGAGTTCAAACCCCAGTACTGGAAGAATCCTGGGCTATGCCTGGTAACAGTATCCTTTTACAGTGCCCCTTATCCAAATGCCTCATCCTCTAAGGGAAACTGGCTGAACTTCTATGGAAGTGACAGAAGAAACCCCCACATTTGGGTGACACCTCCATGCAGGTGAGACACAAGGCACTTAAGCTTTTGAGCCTCAAGCTGCTCCATCTGTCAAATGGGAATGATGGAGGGTATGACGAAGGCTTACCTAGGGCAGGTTCAGCCTTGGTGGAGCTCTGGCACATGGTAAGCGTTTGATATGAAGTAGCTGTGATAACTAACACTGCCAACAACCCTGCGAGGCACACACTGTTGTCTGTGTTACAGATTAAAGAAACTAAGGTATTAGGGCTGGAGTCAAGCACTTGCCTAGCATGACCAAGGTCATGGTTCAATCACCAGCACTGAAAAACAAAAAGAAACAAAGGTTCTTACGGCTTGGATATGAAGTGTCTCCCAACAGCTCATGTATTGAAAGCGTGGTGTCTCGCTGGTGGCACTGTTGTGGGAAGTTCTCAAAACCACAGGAGGTTGGCCTAGTTGGAGAAAGTAGGTCACTGGGGGCATGTCCTTAGAGGCTGTATCTTGTCTTGGTCACTTCCTCCCTCTGCTCCTGCCCACCACAAGGTGAGTAGCTTCCTCCTCCCCATACTCCCACTGCCATGATGATTTGCCTCACCGTGGGCCCAGAAACAGCTAAAATGAACCCTTCCTTCCTAAAGTTACTTCTCTCAGGTATTTGGTCACAGCAATACAAAGCTGACTTAACCCAAAAAAAACAGTACTAGGAGTGAGGTCACTGATGTGACTGCCTGATTTATGTGATTCAGAAGCCTCTGGAATTGGTTTGGGGAGCAATCTGGAGAGAGACAGGCTAGAGAAGCCCCCGAATGCTGTGAGCAGAGCTGAGTGGGCAAGTCTGGTGGGAACTCAGAAGGTCTGAATGCCAACAGAAATGTGGACAGTAAAGACTGTGCTATGAGGGCTCAGACAGGGGCAAGGACTCCATTGGGGATTGGACTAGAGGCTTTTCATGTTACATTCTGACAAAGAACTTGTCCACATTTTGTCCATGCCCTAAGACTATGTGAGAGGCTGGGTTTAAAGGTGACATACTAATTAATCTCACAGGAAGTTTCAAGGCAGCCCAACATCCGGGATGTGGTTAGCTGTTTTTAACCAGCTAACAGCTAACCAGTAGCAAAAAGCAGAACAGAAAAGACTTGAAAAACTTGCAATTTGGTCAGAAAAGCCTGTGTACAGTTGGAGATAAGGAAGGCATAGTTCCCAAAGAGCTTAGTGCCATTAAAAAGTCAAGTAGTTTGCATGGGGACAATAAGAAAGATGCCTGGAGGGCATCTCAGGAATTGACCAGATCCAATTCGACCCACGACCCACAGTAGGCTCAGCGGCATGAAAGAGTAAAGTCACTTGAGACTTTTCCTTGAGAAGAGAGCCTCTGGGTGCCCTTCTCACACAGAACCATTTAGGAAGTTGTTTTCCCAGGATTTATTTTACTGAGCTCAGTTGCCCAGGCACTCAAAGTCTGTTGCAGCCATTAGTCAAGGGGGCCCAGCTACCATTCAAACTGGCTGCAGACCTTGGCATCATTTATATGATGCTGGTTTTGCAGGCATGCAGGATGCAAGAGTTATGGGGTCATAGAGGCTTCCACCCAGATTTCAAAGGAAAGCCTGGGAGGCCAGGCAATGCATGACAGGGTCCGCGTCCCTGCAGGCAGCCCCTGAGATGGTGATGCATGAAGTTGTGAGAATGAAGCCTAAACTGCAATGAAGATCCCAGAGTGTTGGAGAGACCAGGAACGCAGAAAGGTCCAGTGGGCTTCAAAAGCAAGGCTTTCTTTCAGGACAGGGCTGCTGAAGCCCATTAGAGCTAACATCTGGCCACCATGTGCCTTGGATGCTGGACATGGATCTGTAGGGTTTAATGTTTGTCCTGCTGGGTTTTGGTCTTGCTTTGGTCCCATCAGTCCCTCCATGCCCCTCTTCCTTCTTTTTGGAATGGGAATGTTTACTTTGTGCCACTGTTCTTGGAGTATGTCATTTTCTTTTTTCTTTTACAGGGGCTTGCAGCCTAAGAGTTTTGCCTTGGGTCTTGAGCGTGAACTTTTTAACAATGCTGGAACTGTTAAGATGATGGGGACTTTGAAGATGGATTAAATGCATTTTGCATTGTGAGATAGATATGAGCCTTTGGAGGCCAGAGCAGAATGTTAAGGTTTGGATATGAAGTGTTTCCCCAAAGGCTCATGTATTGAAAGCTCGGTGCCTTGCTGGGTGGTTCTCAAAACTACAGGAGGTGGACCTCGTGGGAGGAAGTAAGTCACAGGGAGGGGGAGGGACTGTATCTTGTCCTGGTCCCTTCCTCTCTCTGCTTCCTGGCCACCATGAGATGGACTCCTCCTCCTCCCTCCCCATGTTCCTGTTGCCATGATGCTCTGCCTCACCACAGGTCATCACAAAGTCAAGTGACCATGGACTGAACGCTTTGAAACCATAAGCCAAAATAAATCCTTTCTTCCTTAAGTTGTTTTTTCTCAGGTCTTATTTGGCCAACAGAGACATAAAACTAGCTAACACAAAGACATAGAGAGGTCAAGTAACTTAACTTGCTACCAATCTACTCATGTCCCCAGGAGCTGGCACACAGTAGGTGTCTATAAGTAATGTTCTGATTTATAGAAAAATAGAGCAAAATGAAGCAAACAAAAGAACATGAAAACAGGCCCTGCTTCTATGAACCACAGTGGAGGGAGACTGGTGCAAGAATTAGACCAAAATTTCCTTCAAGGTTAGAGTGAACTGCTAGGTCCAAGGGACCCCAGGACTTCTTGCCTCCCAAGTAGCTGGGCCCAGGCCTGGTGGGGATGACAGAGGTTCTTTGTATGCACATGCTGAAGGAAATATTTTTACCCCCTTCACACTAAGAAGCCAAGGGAGGAATCCTGGGTTTGGAGAGCAGCCAGACCCTGCTCCTCCACTTCCTTGCTGTGTGACTCTGGACAAGTGACTTCAGTGCTCACAGCCTCAGAGTTCTCATATAGGAAATGGAAATGGGGATGACAAGGTTCCACCTCTAGCACTCTTGTGGGGACAACATGAGATGGCACGTGTGAAGCCATATGGACTTCGGTTGTATCGCAGGCCTGCTCTTGCCTGGTTAAATAGCTACAAATCCCCCTTCTGGAAAAAAGGATAATTGTGTCCACCATGTAGAGGTCCCCATGTAGGGGCATAGTGAGGAAGAACAAGTCACTCTAGGTAATATAGTTACAACAGTACAAGGCAAGCCCTAAATGCCCAGCAAATCTCTATTTGACAATGCCACATGCATAGACCCTGTGCTCCACTTTACATGAGGAAACAGAGTCCCAGAGAGAGGCAAGGCCTTGTCCAAGGTCACAGAGCCAGTTATGGCAGAGCCAGGCCTGTCTGTAAACCAGGTACAAGAAGTCAGGCCCTTGTCCAGACCTCTGCTTCCCCAGGAGTCTTGAGATACTTGAATGAACATCCAACAAGAACTTGCACAGCACCTGGCCATCCTGTTTGTGACTTCAGGACTCTGAGGGGGCTGAAGCTCCCTTCTGATGCTCCCTGGTGGCTCCAAGGCAGGTTTGTACAATTAGGTGTATCAGGGGACAGGAAGGGCTGACCTGTTTTCCTGACCCACCTGGCCACTCGAAAGCTGGCTGTAGAGGTCTCGGAAACAATCCAGGGACCCGGGACCAGAACAATATTTGTCAGCTTTGCATGGTAGCGGCAGGATTGTCTCCGTGGCAACAAAGCTGTGTGAAGGCATCCTGGCAACATTAGGGAGCGCGCTGAGTAGTATAAACAGAGGCTGCAGTAGATTACACGCCTATTATGAGCAGTCTCGGGCTCTGAGCACTGGTAATTATGCCTAATTGTGCATTTAATTGTGTAATTGAAAACCCACATCTCTGGTTCAGGCTGGGGCTGCAGAACCTACCTCCTCCTCCCAAAAGAAAAGAGGCTTAGGAGCCAACCCTACTTTGACAATCTCAGGGTGGCCTTTCCTTCTCAGGCAAGGGGTGGCCAGAGTGGGCAAGGGCGAACCGCCCTTACACTCCCATTCCCTGCTTCTGGGACCCCAAGCTCAGCCAGGCCCTGTGACTTGGGGTAGGGAACAGGGATGGGGAACAGGAAGGAGCAGGCTTAAGGCAAAGGGCCATGACAAGAACACAAAAAAAGCCAACCTCTCATTATTCATAATAGATAAAACATTCTGTGTTACTGGCATTGTCCTCTCAATGCTTAGAACCAGCACCTGGTAGTTCCAGGGACCTGGGTCATCATTAGCTTCATTACATGTCCAAGAGGTCATCCAACCTACATATAAATTCTTAGACACTGTCACAAACAGGAAACTTTCCATCTGGCTATCACCCCACCCTTGCAGAGCTCTGTGAAAAGCTGATAATGGAGTTCAACTTCTCCTTCAATTTCCCATTTCACAGATGGAAAAACAAGGCCCACAAGGGCTTTGTTGCATAGCCACGGAGTCCCAAAACCTGGGACTCTGAATTGCAGTTGAAGGCATATTTTATACCATAAGGTATGAAAGTACCTAAAAATCACACCTGGCACTTTGTGGGTGCTTCATAAATATTTGCTGAATTCAACTGTGAGTAGGGTTAGCTGATGGCAATTCTCACCCTCTGGCCCAAGAGAATTCATCTTTCCAGATTTCAGGATGCCCACCTGTGGTGGGGTAGGGGTTAATGCGGGGCCAGGAACCACCAAGCACTGAGTCTCTATGTTCTGAACTTAATTTTACAACCAAACATTCCACATGGGCATTTGTGATGGGGACAGTGCAGATACTCATAGAGACAGGAGAAAGAAGGACCAACCGAGTCCCTGGCAACCCAACACCCAGATGTGAAACTTCTAGCAGGCCACCTGAGGCAGAAGTCTCCTCCTCTCCCCATATCCTGGTACCTGTCAGTCATCACTGCCTGCAGCAAGGTGGGCAACTCTGACCTCAGGCTGGGAAGAGGATGCTCACTCAGTGCCAACTCAGAGACATTCAGCCAGACTTCTCCCTCTACCGAGGAGGCCAGAGGCCAGGGCCAGCCTTCTTTCCTGACTCCCTCCTGGTGAATGCCAGCCTGTACCTAGAGCTCTCCCTGCATTGTCTTGTTACACTCTATAGTCCTGTGAGGTAGATGCTATTATTCTTCCCATTCTACAGATCAGGGAACAGTGAGGCCAAGGCCATGTGCATCAAGCAGAATTGCTGCTCCATCTGTTTCTGTGGCTGAAACAGAGAACAGATCCCATTCTTACCGCACAGCATTCAGATTTGCAAAACCTGTTCCCTCATACCCTGGGCATTGAAGACTGCGAGCCCTTTGAGATTTTGCATATCTTCTTCCGCGGAACGTTCCAACGACTCTGCAGATAATCACTATCCCAATCTGGAGAGGTGCAGGCGGATGCTCAGAGAGGCTAAAAGGTCTTGCCCCACGGTAGAACTGGGCTGGGCCCAGTGGCTCACATCTGTATCCTACCTACTCAGGAAGTAGAGATCAGGAAGATCATGGTTTAAAGCCAGCCAGGGCAAAGGGATCATGAGACTGTACCTCGAAAATACCCAACATAAAACAGGGCTGGTGGAGTGGCTCAGGTGGTGGAGCGCTTAACTAGCAAGCATGAGGCCTTGAGTTCAAACCCCAGTACTAGCCAATAAATAATTTAAAAAGAGGAAAAACTGGAACGCAAAGCCCAGCTTGACCCCAAACCCAAGCTCCTCCTAGCCCACCTCTTTGTTCCTGCATCTTCTAGCTGCTTTAGGAGGATGGGCCCAGGAGGCCAAGGTAACCAAACTATCCAAACCTGCAACCACAGCTGACACCTCTCCCTAAACCTCAGGAAGATTTGCTTTGCTGCCTATGGCTCTCCCTTGGTCTCCAGATCAGTCAACACACCTCTAGGCCAGGGCTGGGGAAAGCCAAGGCCAAGACTAGGCTCCCCAGCCAGGTTCACCCCATGGCATAGAACTAGTTGTTAAAAACACATCTCTAGTCTCAGTCAGCCCTCCTGTCAATCGTCTCTCTTCAAAACTGGGGGATGGGGGGTATGGGGCACAGCTCAAGTGGGAGAGTGCCTGCCTAGAAAGCATTGAAGTCCTGAGTTCAAACTCTGACACTGTAAAATTAGAGGATAGAACATGCTCTAGACGGACAGTTCTGCTTGGTCCAGATTTTGTAATAATTG